TTTTGTTTGTGCGCGACAGTTGTCCGTGAGGGGCTGTCGCGCTATTTTGTGTTTGGTTATTTATTAAAGTTTTGTTTGAATGTTCGCCGGTTCCCGCCTCCTTCTTTCCATTCTTTGTTACATTGGTGCCGAAACCTGGGAGGAAGGAGGGACACACTGCCAGAGATCCCTCGCCGCTGTGGTGAATCCGCGGTGCCATCGAGCATGGCGGAGCAGTCTGCCGCCATGGACGCTCGAGGCGGTGGGCTGGAGTGAGTTGACGGGGGGGCGGACGAACTCGCTGCCGGCCGCTTGGGATGTGGAGGGACGGTTGCCGTCCGTGAGGGAGCGGAGGAGTCGCCCCGTTTGCCGGAGGCCGGAGCCTGCTGCCATCCGCCATGATGGCTGCCCCGAATCCAGAGGAGCCGTCGCCATCCACCGGGCGGCGGAGGAGTGTCGGGACGTCCACCGAGGGCTATCCAGTGCCGCCGCTAGGCATCGCGGAAGAGTTTACCCAGCTGGTGGAGGGCCGAGCGGCAGTGTGTCTGGGAACCAGAACAAGATTTTTTTTTTTTCTCTCTCGTCTCTGTCTCTCCCTATCCTTCCGTCTGCTTTACTCTCGCCTCGTCTGTCTGTCCTTACCCCCAGGTACGCGCAGCCACCGTGATCGGCTCCCCCTGGCCTGCGAGGGGCGATAGGGATATGTGACGAGAGGACGAGACCTGCGCCACTCACCGGTCTCGAGTCCCACGGAGGAGCTCCGGAAGGATAAAAGATAAAAGAGTGACGACAGTGTTTGTAGGCTGGCGAAATGGTGACGTGAAAGGACTTTATTATGTTAAAAATTTTTATAATTATGCTGCATTATGAAAGCATCTTAAGCTTATCAAGCCTGCATTTTTTATCAAAAATACAGAAAAACTGTAATATTGTGAAATATTATTACAATTTAAAATAATGTTTTTCTATTTTAATATACTTTAAAATATAATTTATTTCTGTGATGCAAAGCTGAATTTTCAGCATCATTAGGCCTGTTCTAGTCTTCAGTGCATGATCCTTCAGAAATCATTTTAATATGCTAATTTATTATCAATGTTGGAAACAGTTGTGCTGCTTAATTTTTATTTTTTATTTATTTTTTGTGATACTTTTTTGGGGTTCATTGATAAATAAAAAGTTAAAAAGAACAGCATTTATTCAAAATAGGGATGTTTTCTAACAATATCAATCTTTACTATAACTGTTTCTATCAATTTAAAAATCCTTGCTCAATAAAAACTAATTTATTAAAAAAAATAATAATAATACTGACCTCAAGCTTTTGAACGGTAGTGTACATTGTTACAAAAGTTATATTTTAAATAAATGCTTTTCTTTTTTAACCTTTTATTCATCAAAGAATCTTGAAAAAAGTATCACAGGTTTCCAACATTGATAATAAATCAGCATTGCATAAAATGTATTTTAAAGTATATTAAAATTTTTATCAAATAAATGTAGGGTTGATGACCACAAGTGACTCCTTGCAATTTTTTTTTTTTTTACATTGTCCCTATTTTACATTTGAGCCCCTGCCCCTGAGGAGCTCTCTGCACGTCTCTGAAGGTCATGTCATGCAATGGAGATTGGGAAAAAGGTGTAATAGAACTGTATGTGTGTCAGTCTCCCCTGTAAAATATACAGGTGTGGAAGGTTTGTGCATGTGTGTGTAATGGGAGGTGGCAGTGTGATCTCTATAGGTGCTGAGGTAAATAGGTCAACACATAAATTATAAAATAGGCAAATGTGCAATTTCATTTTTTAAATGCCCCCTTTGGAAGAAGTCAGGCCGGTATTTATGATACATTTTTGCTCTGCATTTTTAATTTCCCTGCGGGAAAGAAAAATCCTCCATATCACAAGCAACAATTAGAATACAACTCACATCTGCAACCACATCTCAGATATCATTAGGAGCTTCCACATGGCAGCTGCTCTCTTGATTTGTATCTAAATCAACCCATACATACTAAAACACTGAGCTTTATCAATCACTGCTAAGCATCCAGCAGTGCCCTAGCTAACTGTTACAATCGTATCGTATCGTATTGTCAACTCACATTTTTTACCATCTCTCTCTGTCATTTTCAGGTCTATCTTACCATTAGGGAAGCGAAATGTAAATCAGAACAACAGGTTTCACAGGGTTGATGATTTTCTTAAAACAGCTCTGGCCAATATTTAAAAAAAAACAACTGGATATGTAAATTAAACCAATATGTAAATTAAAACAACTGGAATCACTTTTAATGTACAAAACACTGGCTCTAAAATAAAATTAAAATACACCAATTTTAATGCGCATTATTAAACACTAATGGAAATTATGTACTACAAATAGCATTTTACTCTTAAAAGTGCTTGGAATTCTTCATAGTCTATAAAATTAGTTCTTGTTTGAATGATGTGAAGATTTGTTCTCATTATTTCGCTACTGATCTCTGCATTTCTGCAGTTTTGGGGTTGATATATATTAGGGATGCGCCGATCCGATATTCATATTGGGTATCGGCTCCGATAGTGCCATTTTTCTCAGATCGGGTATCAGTCAGAGAGGGCCGATCCAAATACGAGATTTTCTTTTTCGATTGTGCAAATTATTCTGTGTTACTTCTGAAGCCATACAATAGCTCAATGTGAGCTACATATGAATATTTAAGTCCTTACATTAAAGTTCACACAAACTCTTTTCTCCGCTGTGGCTGTCAGTCATTCGTTCAGCCTTTAAACCCTGGTCGCGTTCGGTTACAGCAGTCAGCTCGGTAAAGCTCTCTCCAAGATCATTCTTTGTTCCCATTATGCTTGATTTGTAAATACATTATTTTCTTTACTAATACATTACTTTATCTTCTTGCCGGAGTTTAATGTTGTTTTGTTACTTGCTACCGGGTGTCTGTGAGAACAAAACACGGGCGTAGAAAAGACTATAAATTGTTTTTAACGTGCACAGTAACTGAAATTTAAAACTGTTAAAAGAAAGGCTCAATAACTGTTGCACAGATATAATACGCTACGCATCAATTTTTCTTCCCTTTGTGCTTTGCAGTTTTTAACGCGAAGCGCTTACAATGTGCGCATCCAGTGTGCAGAATGATGACGTCTCACAAACTCTTTTCTCCGCTGTGGCTGTCAGTCATTCGTTCAGCCTTTAAACCCTGGTCGCATTCGGTTACGGCAGTCAGCTCGGTAAAGCTCTCTCCAAGATCATTCTGTGTTCCCATTATACTTGATTTGTAAATACATGTCTATGATTTTGCAAAAAGGACTTTATCTTCTTGCCGGAGTTTAATGTTGTTTTGTTACTTGCTACCGGGTGTCTGTGAGAACAAAACACGGGCGTAGAAAAGACTATAAATTGTTTTTAACGTGCACAGTAACTGAAATTTAAAACTGTTAAAAGAAAGGCTCAATAACTGTTGCACAGATATAATACACTACGCATACATTTTTCTTCCCTTTGTCCTTGCGCACATTGTAAGCGCTTCGTGCTCATAGACTGTATAAAAACAGTTCGTGCTGCACTGTATTTGTTTTGTCCTATCATATCTATCATATGTAGTTGCCTTATTACAAAATATGCTATACATTCAAAATAAATGTATTTTAATTTTATAGTATATACTTAAACATATATATGAATGTTTTTAATGAATGGATTTTATAATACAAATAGCAATGTGTAACATTTTACCATATTTAGTGCAACACTTTTATTTGTTCCCCACAAAATATTGTTTTTTTCACTAAATGTTTGGATTTCTAAAATTATTGTGCACTGATTTTTCTAGAATAACTTTTGCTGCCGAATTATCCACTAACCTAGTTTATGATACATTTTTGACATAGATTTATAAATTCTACATTTATTTAAATGAGGGAAAAAAACTTCACTGGTATCGGATCGGTATCGGCCAATACCGAACCCTAGGTATCGGAATCGGTATCGGAGGTGAAAAAGGCGGATCGGAGCATCCCTAATATATATTCCTGTTCCAATCAACATGGGAAGGCGCAACTATCTCAGACAACTCAATCCAGCTATTCTAATCAAACTTGCATATGCATTTGAAGGACTGAATTAGCTATGCAAGAATTAGCATGATTAGAAGATCTGGCTCATTACGTTTTAACTGGAAGTGATGTATGACAACGCTGCCCAGCTTTGCACTTAAACATACATAGTTTACATAAAGAAACATCACTGCTAATTAGAACTACATGTTCCAGTGTAGGAAGATACACAACTTCCTGCTCTGAAACAAAACGTGAAACAGAGAAAATTTTGTTCAAAATATTCAATATGAGACATGGATCGCGCCTGCTTTGTTCAATTACAGCCACAGCTAAATAAAAAAACAAATAAAAAATGGCATTAGAGCATTTGTTATTAACTCGTGGCTGCCAGGTTTCTGTGCATTTCGAGAAAAAAAAATTCCCATCTAACAATTATCACAAGCTCCCTGCTCCCCCCAAAACCGTCCAATCCCAGTCATTCAGTATTGTTATTCGGGGAAGGAAATCAATATCCACGCCAGGACTGGATAATTGAATAACACAGAAAAAGAAAGGCTCTTTCAGCCTCATATTTGTGCAAAAGCTCAGACTCAGCTTCCAAATAGTGGTTTGGATCCATGTGGAAGTTCACTCGATCATGTCTCTTTTTACACTTTCAAAGAGGCCCATGAAAGTGATATGGAGATGAGGCATCTATGCATCTAAGTGCATGTGCATTGTGAGCTTTAGACAGTTTCATCAAGAAGCAATTCTCAACCTAATGTAATGTTTACACACTGTGGTTGGTTGTTTCCTCGAAGACCTTGCATATGCTCAGGAACCTGCTGCAGATTACAGACTGCTAAAGGAAGTCTGTTGTAAACATCTCACTGCTTGTCACATTCACTTTCTCTCCATATGCAAAGTGAAATAAAGTAATTTGAGTAAGCTCTTGAGCTCTCAAAGGAAAATCTGTACTTTCTCACCTGTATCCACTCTGCGTGTCCACACAGACTCCTCCGTTGTGGCAGGGGGTTCTGGGATAGACGGAGCAGCTCTGGTGGAGGTTTTCACGTGCTGAGCAGCTGCAGACAGCAGTGGCTTCCACAGTCACTGACACCAGAGCCATGCTGCCCGAGTCAACCACTGCCGGCTTGTCAGTCACGCTCAGATGGCTGGTGCAGCCCCCTCCTCCCCGACAGTCAGCAACCACACACTCATCTACATGAACCTGGGTCACGTTGACTTGAAGAAAAGACTGGAGCTGGATGGGAAAGGGAAATGGAAACAGAGAAAGTAAGTCCATCACTTGTGAAGTGCTGCCATAATGATGAAAGAAAAAATATGACAGAACAAACTAAAAGAGAGCAAAGAACATATGTGACTGTTATTTTGAGTAATTTTGACCCAGAATCACGATTTTGAGTTTCATGCACTGAGTGAAATAATTGTTTCTACTCAAAACTGCTGTTAAGAAATAATGTAAGGTTTCATTTTATATCATATCGTATCTTTTCATGGCTGAAACACTGATTGGGTGATTATGTAAGAGATTATTCATTTTAGTAAGTATCTTTGAACATCCCTTCTGAGGGTCATTCATGTTTTTTTTGTGCTATAATTAGTAGTAAAAGAATATCGGATATGTCATACCACATTAAAGCGTTCACCCAAAAATGAAAATTCATCATTTACTCACACTCATGTTGGTCCAATCCCAAACCAGACATTGGTTAATCTTCAAAACACACAATAAGCCTGATAGGTTTCTGTCCCTCCATTGAAAGTCCAGGTAACCAAAACTTAAATTGAGCAGTTTAATCCAAGTCTTGTGAAGAGACGTTTATTTACATCTAATAAATGGATTAGTTTTATGATGCCTTTATAACCTTTTTAGATCTTTTAGGTTTTATAAACCAAAATCTTGTGGGTTAGGTACAACAGGAGTGTGAGTAGATAACAAAATTAAAATTTTTGGTGAACTATCTCTTTAAAGGGCATCAAAATTACATTTATTGTTTCAGTTTTGTAATAAAATAATTTGTCATAATTTGAAGAATTTGAGACTTATCAAACATATCAAAACACAAAGTTCCTCATTGTAACTTCCATGCTAGCCCAGTCTGGTTTTTGCTGGTTACATGGTTAGAGCTGGTCTAGTTGGTCAGAAAACTAGGAAGGTCTTCCTCATGAAGCTCATTGACCAAGGGAGTCTTGCTGGTCAACCTACTTAGACTGCTAGGCAAGTATCACAGCAATCCAAACCAATCTTTTCAGCTGAGCTACCCTCAAATTAGCATACAAATAGCAAAACAAGTACAACCAAGTTAACCAAAAAGACCCCAAACCCACTTGTTCGTATTGCATTGAGGTGCGTTAAGAGTCAATGGTGCACGCTTACTCTATTTCGTTCTTGGACACACTGCGCACTCCAGAGCCTCTGCTTTTCCACAAGCACATAAACGGCGTGCAGATACCCCATGTCCACAAAACCTCTTAACTTTCACACCATTTATTCAAATACAACGTCTGAAGTGGTGCAGTTTGCTCAGGGGACCGAGCAGTCACACAGTGATTGACCTGTCCTCCACTAACTCATGCGGCCAGCACACTTAAAGGGAAATGAAGGGGTGAAGAAACCAGAGATATCGAGAGATACAGACAGAGATAAGATAGAGACAGATGTGCAAGGTGATAACTGCTCCAAGATTAGCTGGGACCTATTTGCCGGGACACTATTCTGACTTGGCGGTTGCTCATGGAGAGTTATTTTCTACGCAGCCGCTGTGGCACAGGGCTGTGGGTGATTGATGATGCTGGTTTTGTTGATTTTATGTGTGATCTGAAGGGGAAACTCTCAGGGAGCACAGGGGTACGGTGAAATGTGCACAACAGGAGTGGACAGGCAAATGTCACAATGTGTTATGGTGGGGTGAGAACAGAAATAGAGGGAGCAGCGTTAAGCCTCTGAAACAGTCTTATGTTAAATAAAAATGAACATATAATATTAAATAAAAGGAGAAATAAAGTGTACATGAGGAATATGTGGGAGAACTGAAAGGGCACAATAATGAGATGCTCACTGACTTCCCTGAGTGCCCTGCAGATGATGGAAATGGCAGGCGATCTGCAGGTTGGTGCTTAGGGTGTTGCAATATACCGGTACTGACGATAACCATGATATTTAAAAAATAAAATATTGATATGTTGATACTACATACAATAATATTGTAAATAATCCACTTGCAGTAACCAGCTATTAAACATAGCAGGTGGCAGTTTTGCACCTTAACACAGGTTGCCACCTGTCATAAAATGGAAAAAGATGATGACAACACAGTGTGTAGATACTAGTGCTACAAAAAAATCATGTTGGAAGAGATGAAATGTATACGATAAGATAAAAGTAAGATAAGTAACAAACATGAAAGTTAAAAGATAAAAGTTAGCTCGCCAGTGTGTTTATTTTTATTTTTTAAGACAGGGTGTTAGTCTGCACCCCAGTCTGCAGGAAATGCAAAGATGAATGGTTAATTTTAGTTCCCCTTCAGGAACTCGAGCTGCGTCCGAAGACACTACGGGAACGCCCCCAGCGTGACCGTGCTCTGAATCACATGTGTAATCAGTCCAATGGAAGGGCGAGACATCACAGGCGGGTGACGTAGTGACCAGGAAGCTATAAAGGCACGTGAGGTGGAACCGGCTTCAGCTTTCTGTCATTCAGCGAAGCGCTCGGTGTTGTGTCAGTCATATCTCTGTTGTGAGTCTTATTTGGTGTTGTCTGTCAAAATAGAAAGTCATAAGCACAATGTCCAAGGCCACAGAGAAAATAAAGCATAAGGGCGAAAGTGAGCAGCGTTTCAGGCTGTGTGTTCCTCCCTGCCCTTGCTATATTATGAGTGGGGATACACACAGTATGTGCGTTGTTTGCTTGGCGGCGAAGCATGCGGCATCGGCTCTTGATGGGGCCGATTGCCCGCATTGTGAGCAAATGTCATTGCGCCTGCTTCGCTCCCGGAAGGCTCTCTTTGAGGAGGGAGCCTTCGCCAGCGTTCCTCGCGGTGCTGGTCCCACTTCAGCCGAGGCTGAGCGGCGGCTGCATTCGTGGGGTTCGCAATTGGATTTGGCGGAGGGAATGGAGACGGGCGAGCCCCTATCTCCTTCCTCACCCGCCAGATCCGGTGCCCGCTCTCTGGGATCGGAAGCCCGCACTGCGGTTTCTTCCCCCCGGGGAACGGGCTCGACGCTCCGCCTATCTTCCTCCGAGGAGGTTGATGTGGAGAGCGCCGATGAGGATTCGCCCCCTCACACAGCACAGTATGAGGAGTTATTGGAGGTGGTCACTCGTGCCGTAGATAAACTAAATATTGATTGGCCGGCCGAGAAACAAGCTGAACCGCAGAAAAGCCAGTTAGATTAGCGCTTTCTGCGGAGTAAACTGCCACCTCCACGCCGGAGCCTACCGTTTTTCCCCGATCTCCACACCGAGGTGTCGAGGTCGTGGGTTAGACCATATTCAGCACGTCTATTTACCCCCGCTTCCTCTCATTATGCAAATGTGGTGGGGGTTAGGGATCATGGTTATAAGGCGATGCCCCGGGTGGAACAGACGCTCGCGAGCTATCTGTCCCCCGGCGCGGCATCGTCATTAAAGGCTCCGGCATTGCCCTCCAGGCCGTTACGTGCAACATCTAGCCTGGTGGGCAAGGGGTATACGGCGGCAGGTCAGGCTGGTGCGTGTCTGCACACCATGGCGGTGTTACAGGCGTACCAAGCCGACCTGCTTAAGGAGCTAGATGAAGGCGAAGAAATAAAAAAGCATGACATAGCAGAGCTTAGGAGGACCGCCGATTTATCTCTCCGCGCCACCAAAGAGACCGCCCGTGCCATTGTGCCTATGGCAGCTCTAGTGGCAGCAGAGAGACATTTGTGGTTGACCCTGTCAGATATTAAAGAAAAGGACAGGGTCTTCCTTATGGACGCCCCGCTTGCGCCTTCTGGCCTGTTCGGCGACGCCGTCAATTCCGTCGTCGACAGGTACCAG